TTTTTTTTTCATATAATTTAAACCAGTTAAAGGTTTTAAATATATAAGATATACAATCATATTTAATTTTTCCCATGTAGCTTTTAGTTTTATATTTATAGTTAATATTAAGAATTCTATTTTTAATAAACTTTATAATTTTATTCAAAGCAACTTATTGAAATAATCTCTTCTTTTTCTTTAAAAAAGTTAGTAAATTATCATTTTTAATCAAAATGATAAAAACACTTGATTTTAAATATGATTTATTAAAACAATGTTAGTGTTTTAATAAGAAATTAATTTAGAAAAATATTTTTAATAAATTTTTCGTAAAAAACCCGTAAACAGGTTTTTTTAATATCGAATAAAATAATTAGAGTTTTTTTATAAATTATTTTAAGCTTAAATTTTATTTTAATTTAACTAAAAAGCCGATAAAAACAGATAAATTCAAAAATAATATATTTTTAATTCCACATATAGATTAATAGATAAAAAACTACCTAAAAAAGAATAAAAAATATTTGATTTTATATTTTATTAAAAATAATTTTGGTTTTTTTTATTTAAATGATTAAAATACACTTGTAGAAAAAATCAATATATCCATTTTATTATGGTATATTTAATTATTAAATAACTGTTTAAAAACAATATTTTCATTAAAAAATACAATTTTTAATTTAGTTTTGAAAAAAATATTTGTTTTAAAAAGACTTAAATTAGAAACTTTTCAATTTGCTTTTTAGTATTAAAATTATTTATTTAAAATGATGCGAAAAAATCTTTAATTTTACAAAATGGACTAAAATTTAAAAATTTTTTCGTATGATTTATTTGACTTTTAAAAATAAATCTTTTATTCTATTATTATTTAAAATTTTAAGTTTTATTAAAAAATTTAAATATATTTAAATAATAAATCAAAAATACACGTCATTTAAATCTCAAATTTATTGTAATTATTGACCCATTTTAAAAGGATCAAATGGTAGAGAATACAAAAATTTCAGATATAAATTACAAGCTACTTATTGATTACTATGAAAACTTGTTTCCCTTTGATGATTTATTTAAAATATTAAATATAAATGAATATAAAGAAATAGCATTCATAACTAGAACTGGGCATTTTTTACGATATCAAACATTTATAAACCCAAATCAATTTAAAAATAGAGTTACCTTTTTGAATCCAGTAAGAATTGAAATTGGGCCTACATATAATTACAAACCTTGTAGGAGAATAAACCCTTCTAAAATAATTGGTAGAGAATTGGTATTTGATATAGATTTAACTGATTATCCGAGAAAATGTTGTGAAGGAAGACAAATTTGTGAAAAATGTTATGAAATCATCAAATGTTCTATTAAATTATGTGATTACATATTTAAAGAAGAATTTGGATTTGAAGAATATGGATTTGTGTTTTCAGGCAGAAGAGGTGTACATTGCTGGGTATTCAATTATAATGGAATCAGTGATTTAATCAGATGTGATATATTCAAATATTTTCAAAGGGTAATAGATG